GGGGTCGCGAGATCCCCCCCGAGGGGATGGGACGGGATGGGAGAGAGAGAGAGAGAGGGAGAGAGAGAGAGCACACGTTCAAGCGTGGACGATAAAGTCTTGTAAGAGGTGGTCGAGAAACACCCCGGCGAAAGCACAGCGCGTCGCGCGGCGAGATGATAAGAGCATGGATGGCGGGTACTAAGCGTGTTGGGGTTACAGGTTACAGAGGCGGTGTCCGGGCGCGTGCTGTACAACAACAACAACAACAACATCGGCAACAATGGCAACAAGGTGCCAACGAGAAAGAAGAAGACGAAGAAGACAATGTCACGCACTAGACCGTGGGAGCCAAAGAGCACTAAGGTCGGTACAGGCGGATCGCAATCGCCGGCGGTGTCATCGTCGTCCTCCTCCTTCTCCCGCTCACCATCACCATCGCCGTTGCAATCGCCATCATCATCACCATCACCAGCGCGTTTGGCGTACGTGGGGTGGGCTACGGTCGCTCCGTTGTTGCAACCGGCCACGTTTCGCTATCGAGGGCTAGGGGTCGAGGAAGACCAAGAGCAGCAGCGGCAGCAGCGGCAGCAAAAACAAGAGGAGAACTCTGAGGAGGACTCTGAGGAGGAGGAGGAAAGAGAAGAAGAAGAAGAGGAAGAGGCCGAGGAGGATAACGACTCGACAGCCCGAACGCTCGCAGAGGAGCAGCGCTGCTGGGAGGAGCAGGAGGGCGAAGACGACGAGGTAGCGGACCATGGTTTACCGGGCGATGCACGCGGACTACGCGATCACGGCCAAGAAATTCGGTTGCAATTATGGCAGGCTGATGGCTCGCAAGGCGAGCCGAAAGGCAGAGAAGGAGACGAACACACAGAAGAAGAAGAAGAAGAAGAAGAAGAACAAGAAGACGTCAACTGCGGGCGGGGGGGGTTCGGAGCTTTGGCGGGAGGACGCCGGCCGTGCTTCAGGTGGCGTTGATGATCTTGGGCGCGATCACGGGCATTGCGATGTCGGTGGGGAAACTCAATGTTAAAGCCTACAGCTGGAGGGGGAGGGGAGGGGTGAAGCTGGTGGTTGTGAGTCTGTGAAAGTGAATCCTGCCGGTGCCATAGATGGTGAAAACGTACTTAGTGCAGACACAAAACGTCCATCAGCTTCAAAGTGTGTCAGAAAAATGTCCACATGGTGACTGATGGATGAGAGAGGTCCCATTGTTGTTGTTGTGCACAAATCATTGAACAACACAAACACTTAGAGCTGCTTTCAGTGCTGCCTGTTTTGTTATTGCACACATTTCTGATGGTCCTACAGTCCAACGTAGCAAACGTCTCCCTGAAGCCTCTTCTTAGAGACCAAAGGTTGGATCAGAGCGAGCAGCTGAAAGGACACATCTATGAATGCAGTCAGACACTTTCTCACAACCTCACACTTAAACTGATCAGGTTTAGACTCAGGTTCTCTGTTAGTCACTGAGATTACAGACTCACATATTTATAATAATGTAGATCAGCAGTAATAATAACACACAGGTCTGCAGTAACTGTGTCAGTCTGCTCCACTTTGCTGTTTGATGAGACTTTGTAGAAAGCAGCTGGTCTGAGTGATGTGATCAGAGTGCAGTAGATAATGTCTGACAGCAGTTTGAAGAGGAAATGGATTCTGTTCTGTTCTTCACTCATCACCTACCTGACAGCTGACACCTCACACCTGTTTCTCACCTGCAGGTCACACAGGAGACACAGAGGTTGGAGGGAAGGAGGATGGATCTGTTGGACTGAAAGTGTGTCTGTCAGTTTTTGCTGTTCTTCTTGTTGCTGCTGTTGTTGGTATCCTGATCAACATTTATATCAAAAGATGTAAACTGAATCCTGCTGATCCACTTGAAGCATCTTGAGCGTCTTCAGCCTCCACAGCATGAATGTGAGTCAGATGAACAAACACAAAGCTTCTGCTCCGCGGCTGCTGAGTGAGCCCTCATCTGGGACTCTCCTCAGCTCTTACTGGAACAGTGGCGCGGCTGCCCCTCTGTTGGTCTTCCTTGGTCTCTTGTGTTCTGGGGGCCTCTGGAT